AATCCCTGCATTCGACAGCCCTAGCTTAGTATCAGATATGGACACTAATGCAGTCTCAAAAAGAAAAAAGAAGAAAAGCCCCACAGAGGCAAAGAAAATAACAAAGAATCTAAAAATCGAAAAACTAGCTCATAACAAAACACATTGCAAATTCTGCACCCTGCGATTCAGAACAACCTTGGAAGTGGATCTACACGAAGACGCAATGCATAAAAAGTTCAAACAGTGTCATATTTGTAAACAAACCACGACAGGTTACACAGAAAGCACATTCTACACGGACATACTCAAGCACTACGAAGAAGAACACCCCGACGAAACAATGTACGCCTGCAACATATGCGACGTATCCCTCCCATTAGAGGGTATACGGATGCATACAGAAAACCACCACCCAATCGCTCAACGCTCAAAAGCGAAGAAAACCTAGGCACTGGTTAATGTCTCAGAAGGAAAAGAAGTAAGAAAACAGGCAACATGGAAAATATAAAACACGGTTAAATCACCACCTCTTAAACGTTTTGTATTAGACACATAATCTAATATATAAAGCTCTGTTCTGTAGCGTGTGGCAAAAAAAAAGTTTGTCGTTGACACTTTTATGGATTTAAGTGTTAGATTTTTTATCGTGCTCATAGTCTAAATTTACGAGTCAAAAAATTACCATTGAAAGTCTTTAAAAACAATTTTCATTCTATTTACTTGGAAGAATAACTTTTAATTATGAACACGACATAAAATTTTTAAAAAGTGTATCGACGTTTATAAAATTTCTTAAATTGTGTCGGAAATGTATTGACTGCACAGTTACTTCCCTTTAATAAAAAAAAATCCTTAAGAAGAGAGAATTAACATTTTATTACTTTGTTTTGGTGTTAAGAAAAAAAAATAATTACACAATTAGCGGGGATTGATTAAGTGCAATGTCGTTAGGTATTTTTAACACTGCCTTTTATTTATTCTATACACTGAACATACTGTTCAATAATTACTATTTTTTTTTTAAATCAATAACATTTAATAAGCCAGGTCCTACAAATCATATATGTTTATTTCTTTCCATTTACGGATAAGCTTGGAGTATTATCATTTTTGTTCACTAAATTGAAACAGGCGCGTCCGCCGGCGCCACTGCACGGTTCGATTTGGCACCCTGGGCTATCATGTGAGCGCTATGCTGCATAATTTTGTTTTGAACAGTGCGATAGACTATGGATAAGAAAGGTTACTATAGTCTTTAAGTGAATCAAATCCGGGCGTCCTCCGGCACCCCGACATGGTGCTATTTGGCGCCCCGGGCCTTCCGGTGTACGCTATGGTATCTACGTTCGCGTGAGTTCAAAAGACTATGAATAAGTTATGCACTATAGGCGTTTACTAAGTTCAATCAGGCGGTGACGTCATGGTGCGTCCTCTGGCGCCCAGACAGGGTGCTTTTTGGGGTCCCGGGCCTCCCGTGTTCGGTTTCGCGCCTACGTTCATTAAAGTGAGTGCAAAAGACTATGAATAAGTTGGGGTACTATAATCGTTTATTAAGTTGAAGCAGGCGATTCAGCCCCGTGAGCACTTTGCGTTTATATTCGCGTTAGTGTTTTCTTTGTGTTTAGGTTGGGTTTGCGTTAGTGGTTGCGTTTTGATTTGGTTCGTTTTTGTTCTTTCTTTTTTCGTTTTCGTTTGTGTTTTATCTTCTTTGCGTTTGTGTTTGTATTTGTGTTTGTGGTTGGTTTTGCGTTTGTATTTGGTTTGTTTTCGTTTGTTTTTTCGTTTGTGTTTTTTTCTTTGGGTTTGTGGTTGGTTTTGCATTTGGATTTGGTTTGTTTTCGTTTGCTTTTTCGTTTGTTTTTTTTCTTTGTGTTCGTATTGGTGTTTGTGGTTGTGGTTGGGTTAGTTGTTAGGTTTTTGTTTTCGTTTGTATTTGTAATTGTGTTAGCTTTATGTTTGCGTTTTGTTGTTTTGGTTTGGGTTTGGGTGTGCAATGCCGGGTTTATGATGATTACTAAACACACAGGTAATGGTCTTTAACAGAAAGGTTTTTCACAGAAGCCAGAGCAGGGCCTGGCCGGGACGGCTAGTATAACTATAAAAAGTATCTGTTCTCATCATATAATATAATATGCTTAATCTAGGAATATTGAATACAATGTAAATAAAAAAAAAAGAAAAAAATGGTTATATATTGCAATGAAGTAGACTAAATAAAGAAAAAAAAAAAAAACTTGCCGGGACGTTGAGCAAAATTGAACGGCACGAAAAAAAAAAAAAAAAAAAAGAAAAAAAAAAATGTTTTTTATAGGTATATTCCATTCCTCAATTATATCTAAAGTTGGTCTTGCCGGGACGTTGAGCAAATGGACCGAGTCCTCATCTCCATGCACTAGAAATGGACTATGCAACTATCACGAAAGTCAACAATGGTCGAGAGATCCGGAGAGGAGCCACCCGGACTACGGTTCGGGTGGCTTAATGAAAACTTGGGCCCAAACTCTTTCAGATATCAAGACAACAATCACAATAGACCAGTCTGATGAAATAGCTCCTGAGCTCTTCGACTCGCCTACAGTAATTCATGTCACCATCCAATCAACCAACCACCAGAACATCCCTGGTCACCTCTTGCGCAATATCATTAGCCCACACCAGATCCTGCTGCTCAACTATGGACGAGGGGATACCTGGTACTTCTCGTCCAACGAGTTTGATGTAGCGGATCTGGACGGCACCACCAAAACACACCGCCCATACACTTTGAAATTCGACAGATACCACAAGGACAAAATCATCGGAACCCTTAGGTGGGTCCCGCCGGCCCTGAGCAACGAAACACTGATTAAGGCACTGCAAACAGTCAGCAAATCTACACCTACAATAACCACAATCCCGCACACAAACAATCGCAGATTCACCATCCAGAACGACAATCCACAACACATCCCACACTACATCCAAATTACATACAAAGACACAATATAGAGGAAAAAAAACCAGAATCAAAATAGAGCAGATTGACTCGGAAAACCAAACACACCACACTCTCATACTGCAACAAAGCATACAAAGATCAAAACAAATTAAACAAATAATGGACGAAAACAACCAAGAAACGACTGACCCAAGAACGATTTTAAAATCGACCCGCGCTTTTTATTTAACTTATCTTCATAATCGATTCCCTTTCGTGCCCAATACACAAATGGCAGATAAAGTAAAGATCGTGTTTCAATCACCTCGACATACAGGGAGATAATGTGGTCAGTACTAAGCCTATCCGCCTTAGTTACCTAAGGTGCGCCAGGTACCCATCAGAGCTGGGTGAACTCACGGTGCCCAACAGAACTGAGCCTAGAACTCGAGACATTCGGACTAGCAGTAGAAAGCTTTGTGTTTAGTAATATAGCTTAAAAAGTGAACTCTTACTTTTGTAATTTAGCGCTCGTGATTGCTCGTTAATATATAGGGTATTTGACATGTTTTTTCCTACTATTTAGTCTTAGATGAAGAAATAAATAAAGCAACGTTATACAAATGACGCAATCCGTCACATTGTCACATGATCCGGAGGTCGATTAATCCTCACCCAGAAGGACAACTCCCCCACCCCCACTAATCCAAACACCCCCACTCAACTTACCCAAAGTACAAAGTAAACCCCATCACATCCACCGTAGATTTATTTATATGTATACACACACACTCAAATCATTTCCCTTGCCTAAACTACAACACAACACAATCACTTCTCGCACACTAAATTCTCCAAAACTAAATTCTCGCAAACTAAATTCTCCCACACTAAATTCTCCCACACTAAATTCTCCCACACTAAATTCCCACACTAAATTCTCCCACAATAATTTATCCCACGCTAAATTCTCTAACAATAAATTTTCCAAAACTAAAAATCTCCCAAATCTAAACTCGATACAAAAATAGTCTCCACCGAATTCGCCTAAACATTCAACTCCCTCATAATAGATTCCATCAAACACTTCCCCCACCCCCCACCCCACGTGAAACTAAACATTGACACAGAATATTAGTGTTAGTCCCGAGAGTGAACCAAGGTATAACAAATTTCACAGCGGTTTGCTGTCGTCTTCTGTTTCTGTCAAAATATCTCGCGCGAAGAACTTTTTTTGTCAGGGGAAATAACAAACAATATTTTTTAATGGGAGGTAATTATAAAATTAAACGATTAAAAGAAATCTAAAAAGTATTAATATATATTGAAACAAAAACAAGTAAACAAACATTAATATTAATTATAAAAAATTAAATTACAACAAAAATATCTAAAACATTTGGTGATTAAGAACAAAAGGTTAATTACAACTCCTAGTAATTGTTAGATGTTAATCCTATAATTAGTAAACACTAGTATCAACCGTCTATAATATTAATACCAAGAAGATTTCTTAGCGATGCTTCATATGGACTGCAAAACTGCTATCTTTTAATTCTAATTCAATCTGATAACACAAACAGACTGGGAGGAGAAAAAAAAAAGAATTAAAAAAAAAGAAGAGAAAAAAAAAAACAATGTTATTATATTGCAATGATATCCAAGTAATCATATAAAAAGTTATTATGAGGCGAAAAAAAAGTCTCAATATGTTAGCGCAGGTTTTGCAAACTGCTGCTCGCGTGCGACTCCCTTGATGTCATGGTGCGGCTCTCCAGTTCCACGCACAATGATTAATAATTGTATAGTTTCATTTTCAAAAGTCATAAAATATTATACTGTTAAGAAAAACAACTTTAAATAGGATTAAAAAACTCATCAGAGAACAGTGAGAATAGGTAAGGTAGAAAGTATACGGGCAGCCGCTTGGGCACCAGGCCCAGCCCCACAGCCGCTGTAAGCAGCACCATGGCGACTATTCCATGTTTGCCACTGCCCAAGGGCCGCCCCTTTCAAATGTCGTTACATGGGGAATGTTATTGTATTCAGAATGCATTCCTCTACCTGTCAGTATGCATTAATTTGACCTGAGTGACGAAGTATGTCAGTCATTAGTTTCCTACGGTTGAGCTATAAGATACTGGACTCTGGGTTCGCGTGGGTGAAAGATAAGCCGTGTGAGAACCGAAAGACAGAAGCGACCGATACACTAATCAAACCGATATCCAAACCAGTTAGTCAGAGCTTGCCGTGCTGAGGCCTGCCTGGCTATGAAAGATACCTACTGAACCAGTGGTGTCCGTAAAGGAAGAAAGTGGATTGGGATAGTCCTATAGTTATATAATGTGATTTCTAATTTTTATCATAGCAGATCTAGCTAAACAGTTTTTGTGCGAAACATTTGTTTGCTTTTTATGAAATAATAAGTTCATATTTAGCGCTATTTATTTCAAATCAAAGTCAAATGTATTTACCTAATCCTTATCAAATACCAAAATATTGAAAAAAATAATGTTAGTGGCTCTTTAAAAACTGGGATATTTTGTAAATTGTAATTTTTGGCTCTTCCGTCTCTAAAGGTTGCCGACTCCAGTGCTAAGGTTATCGTAAGGTTGGGTATTTATCTATATGAAATTATCATTTTTAAAAACCCATTAGAAAAGTGGTTAGGTAAGAAACAATAAGCTTTAATCCTATCAGTATTGTTTATAAAGTTATTTATAATTTTCTAAATTTCACAAAATTCCCGGTTTTCTTTATATGAATATAAAATATACAATTAAACATTATTGACACAATTAACTAATATTAATTTTTAAATGTAATTATGATGTTTGTAATATAATACTTATTATATTTTAACCTACAGGTGAGTTTTTTGTTCAAGGGAATGTACTCCACATTAAACGACAAAGCTATTGGAGCAATCATGATGGTTAATTTCCCTTACCATTCTCTGCCTGTGTCTAGTCGCCATTGTCAAACTGCTTCACTCCCTTCTCCAAGGACCCATCGCTCTTATCATCAAAAAATTCATCAACGCTGACTTTCCCGGACCGCTGGGCTACCTCACCGGATACCTCGCCATCATCATCGGCGCCGGGTTGACCATCATCGTCCAGAGCTCCTCCATCTTCACCTCCACCCTCACCCCGCTCGTCGGCATCGGGGTCATCGAACTCGGCCGGATGTACCCTTTGACCCTGGGGTCAAACATCGGCACCACGACCACGGCGATTCTCTCAGCCTTAGCCAACACGGACGGCCACAGAAACGCGTTACAAGCAGCCTTCTGCCACCTCTTCTTCAACATCACCGGCATCCTCCTGTTCTACCCCATCCCCAACCTCCGCTTCCCCATCCCGCTTGCCAAATTTCTAGGCAACTGCACGGCCGAGTACCGCTGGTTCGCCATTGTCTACATACTCCTCATGTTCTTCCTCTTCCCCGCCCTAGTCTTCGCTCTCTCCTTCCCGGGCTGGTACGTCCTCCTCGGCGTCCTCGGGCCCGTCTGCCTTCTCTTCATCATCATCGGCGTCATCAAATGCCTGCAGGCTAAACGTCCCCAGAGCCTGCCCAGAAAGCTCCAAGACTGGATGTTCCTACCCCAGCCGCTACGGTCTTTAGAACCCTATGATCGCGCGATGCAGAAAGTCTTCTTCTGCAAGCGGTTCCAGACAGACTCTACCGAGAAGACAGACACTGGTGCCACGTCAGACAGACAACCTAACGGAGAGTCCAGCACGCGACTTTAGTATGACCACGTGACATTGTTTACAAAGTTCGATGATTGAAAACCTATTTATTCTATGTTTTTTTTATGTTTGTAGCTTGTATATGATTAGATAATTTACATCTGTTTTAGTTCAATATGTATATATAGCATGTATATAGCTTACAGAATTTTGAATGTGATATATATATATATATATATATATATATATATATATAAGACACATTTCTGGTAATTTTTTTAAAATATATAAAATTACTTTTTTTAGGAATTTTGAGCTCTTTGATGTTGTTATAAGAGTTTTGTGGAATTTCTTTTAGACATTTTTAAAAACACGACAAATTTGATTTAATTTTGATATTGCTATCATAGTGTTGTCATTTAAATCTTTTAAAATAACTTTACTGGTCCAAATTTGAGGCAGTTGGGTACGATAACTGCACGTCGCACTAGGTATTTGATCACTGCCTTTGTACAACTTTGTATTGAGTTGTCTTTTGACGTGTTCGTGATTTCAGCGAGAGTTTCTGTTACGTGCATAGAGGCCAACTTAAGCCACCTGGGCCACTTTTATGTAAAGGCCAACCTCGGCCACTTTTATGGAAAGGCCATTCTCGGCTACTTTTATGGAAAGGCCAACATGGGACCACTTTCATGAAAATGCCACTTTGCATAGCCCAACTAGGACTCTTTAAGCAAGGTGCTTGTTGCCACAAAATGTACCAACAGATCTAGAAATAGAAAAAAAAACGCTTTTGGTTGATTAAGATACCAATTAGTGCCCTCCTTGAATATTTTGAAATAACTTACTAGGCTGTTATCAACACTTAAAATGGGACGGCGTGGTCGGACGCTAGAGCACACAACTGCTAACACGAAAGACTCGAGTTCCATTACCGCGTTGTAGTCCTTTATTCAATCATCTCTGGTGGGTACCTGACTCACGTTAAGGAAATAAAAGAGGCAGGATCTACTAATGAACACATTATTTCAGTATAGGCCGAGGTCACAGAAACATGTGAACTCTACTTCATCTACCTCATTGCCCGCCTAGTTTGAAAGAGTAACTTTAAGTGTGCGAGACACTAAACTGCTAACCCGAAAGTCTTGTGTTCGAATCCGGGTTCAACTGAGTAAAACTTTCATGAGTCCACCCAGCTCTAATGTGTAACTAACTCACGTTAGAGAACAAACTTGGTATTAATATTACAGCTGGATAATACTAGTTACATTTAATTAATGTTATTGGATTAACATCAACAATTACTAAAAGTTGTAATTAATATTGTGTAGGCTAATAAATTACCAAATGTTTAAATTAATTTTTTACATTTATTTTTCTATAAGAAGAATTTAGGGTAGGATAATTTAGTGTGAGATATTCATTGTGGGAGTATTAATGCTGGAGAATTTAGTGTGGGAGAATTAAAGTGGGAGAATTTAGTAGAGAATATATTTCGGCGGAATTTAGTGTGAAAAAATTAATTGTGGGAGAATTTAGTGCGGGATAATTTTGTCTGGGTGAATTTAGTGCGGGAGAATTTAGTGTGGAAGAATGTAGTGAGCGATAATTTAGTGTCGGAGAATTTAGTTTGGCAGAATTTAGTGTGGGAAAATTTAGTGTGGGCGAAATGATTATGTTGTAGTGAAGGCAAGGCAAATGATTTGCATTGGTGTGTGTACAATTATATCTACTGTTGGTGTGAAGAGGTTTACTGTGGGTATGTTAGTTGAGTTGGAGGTGTTAGGAATCAGTAGGGGTGTGTTTGTTTTTTGGGGGAAGGGGGGTTAGTGGACGCATGTTGTGTGTGGTGGGATTAGTGGACGCATTTTGTGTGTGGTGGGATTAGTAGACGCATGTTGTGTGGGTGTTCGGGATTAGTTCAAGTGTGAGGATCAAAGTTTCTTCTTAGCGCTCCGACGCCCCCCCCCTCCAACTTCTCCTACCACGAACGAAATAGATTTATATAGAAAGTATATACTTTTACCAGTAACCCCTCCCGCCCCCCCTACCCCGGGAGAAAAAGTTTAAAATAAACACAGTGTGATTGACTCCGCTATAATACACAAGAGGAAAAAGAAAGCGCATTTCTTCTGTCCATTTTTTATTTCGACTGTATATAATTCAGTAATAAGCTCTTTATATTATTACCTATCACGTTTGCGCCCTTTTCTTGTCGGCGCATAACGCAGGCCGTTTAGGTAGGAAGGGGGGGGGGGGGGCGGGGACATATATCCACGCGCGCCGACCTTAGGGGGCGCCAAAATGGGTTGGAAAAACAAATTGAAAGTTTGAAGGGGATGCATATCGAAAGTATGAGGAGAGGGGTTGCACATTGATAGAATAGTGGTTTTGTCAACAACAAAAAATATTCGATTGCTCCTGTGATGTTCTACATTTACTAAAACACACTGTTGCGTAGCGAGAAAAAAAACTACATAAGTTGTAGTATGAAAAATAGCCAAATCTTTAAACCACTTCCATGACTTATTCTCTCCTTTATATAGTCGAATCGGGGTGCCGATAAAACTATTTAAAATAGTTTTTTTACTAAGCGAATTAAAACTAAAAATTCTTCTCTTAAGAATTACTAAAATTAAGCATCCTGACGAATGACTAAGCTATAAAAAGGGATTAATTCCAAATTAATAGTATAAATGCATAAAAAAAAAATAAAAAAAAAAAAAAAAAAATCCATTATACATATCAGGTTTCATGGATTCATGGTATTTGACTAACTTGCCAAATAAGGAAGAACACTATCGGAAGAGCCAAAAGCTACAATTTACTAAAAATCCCAGTTGTTTAAGAGCTACTAACATTATTTTGTTCAATACTTAGGTATTTGATAAGGATTAGGTAAATACATTGACTTTGATTTGAAATAAATAGCGCTAAATATGAACTTATTATATCATTTAAGAACAAACAAATGTATCGCACAAAAACTGTTTTAGCTAGATCTGCTATGATACAATTAGAAATTACATAATATAACTATAGGACTATCCGGTCACTATCCCAATCCACTTTAGAAGCCAATAACTTTTTTTTTCTTTCTTTACGGACACCACTGGTTCAGTAGGTATCTTTCATAGCCAGGCAGGCCTCAGCACGGCAAACTCCGACTAGCTGGTTTGGATATTGGTTTGATTACTGTATCGGTCGCTTCTGTCTTTCGGTTCTCACAAGGCTTATCTTTCACCCCACGCGAACCCAGAGTCCAGTACCTTATAGCTCAACCGTAGGAAACTAATAACTAACATACTTCGTCACTCAGGTCAAATTGATGCATACTGACAGGTAGAGGAATGCATTCTGAATAAAATAACATTCCCCATGTAACGACAATTGAAAAGGGCGGCCCTTGGACAGTGGCAAACATGGAATAGTCGCCATGGTGCTGCTTACAGTAGGGCTGTGGGGTTGGGCCTGGTGCCAAGGCGGCTGTCAGCTGTCCATTTACTTTCTACCTCACCTATTCTCACTGTTCTCTGATGACTTTTTAAATCCTATTTAAAGTTGTTTTTCTTTACAGTATAATAGTTTTAAGAGTTTTGTAAATGAAACTAAATAATTATTAATCATCGTACATGGAACTAGAGAGCCGCACCATGGCATCGGAGGAGCCGCATGCGGCTCGCGAGCCGTGACGAGCCGAAGGTTGCCGACTCTGCCTTAACACAGGGGTCGGCAACCTGCGGCTCGCGAGCCGCATGCGGCTCTTTTGATATCAAGATGCGGCTCTCCAGCTCCTTGAACAAATACTAATAATCTTAATAAAAAAATAAAATATTTGAAATAAAAAAAATTTTAGTGGCTCTTTAAAACCAGGGAAATTTTCAAAATTGTAATTTTTGGCTCTTCCGCTTCAAAAGGTTGCCGACCCCTGTCGTAAGGCATGCGGCTCTTTTGATGTCAAGTTGCGGCTATTAAGCTCCATGCACAAATATTAAAAATTAATTTACTTTATTTTCAAAACTCAAAGTAGTATTAGTCTGCAACAGTCGGTAATGAACGATATAATAATAAATATAAACAATAAACACTATATTCTATTAGAATATTTAGATACTCCCTATTTCAATGTACCTACACGTTTTCTTTTTTTCCCTTGTTAATCCCTAGCTCGGATTAATCATCGATTGTCGTATTGTAGGGTGCTTCTAAAGATATGCGCTTAGTGCTCGCGAGATAGCCCTGTGCACCCTGCAGAGACACATGATGCGCCTGATTCGATTTAGTGAGCGACTATAGCAACTCATTGTATCCATAGCCTATCGGGCTGTTTAAAATGAACGTATTGTTGCCCATCGTGTCTATAGTGTATAGCGTTTTATAAAAAAAAAAAAAACGTAGGCGCCATAGTGCTCGCAGGTGAGCACGGGACGCTTCGGGTCGCGCAATGGACGAGGCGCCGGCGGTTGTGCTTGTTGCAGTTTTGCCGCTGAATATAGTAGTACCCCTTACCCGCTATGCAGGACGCCCGATTAACGGATGCCAAGTACTAACATAGCCGCTCTGGAACTCAGGACAAAAAATGCACCACCCGGGCGCCGCCCATTAGAAATTTTTTTTCGCAGAAATTTTTTCAGGAGTATTTTCATTTACTCCCCAAAGTTTCATGGCACTCGGATAAACTTTTTCTGATTGTATCCGACTTTTTTTTTACAGTATATAGAGAAAAATCGAAATTTCCCGGGGCACCTCGCTTGCGAAATTTAAAAAGATGATTTTTTTGCACAAACCTCCCCTGGAGTGTTTTAATCAACTCCTTTAAGTTCCATGACGATCGGAGGAAGAGCGACAATCCAAAATCGACTTCTATTTTTTATATGCCGTATATAGAGGAAAAACAAGCCGCGCCATGCCTGGGCGCCACGCCTGCCAATTTGAAATTTTTTTTCGCAGAAACCTCTCCAGGAAAATTTGTAACAACTTCCCAAAGTTTCATGGCGATCGGATGAATGATGTAGTAAAGCGTAAAAGAAAAATTGACACACATTATATGTATATATATA